GCGTCTTTATGTGGTTGTGAATAGTTTTTACTTGACCCAATATGTCCTCAGTGTTATTCGTTGGTACCTCCTCCACAGTGGGATCAATAAAATGAAGTATCTATACAAATGATGATTGGGACCATTCTTTCTAATACATTTGTACTCTTGTCAGTTATCTTTATAAATTCTATCTCTTGACAATACATACTTTTGGATTGGAGGAACAGGTGTTATTTCTGGGATTCTTAATTTGTACTATAATTCAAATACTCCTAATCATCATAATAAATCAGCAGTTTACCCACTTAAATCTCTCCTACTTATTAAAGTTGCATTCACCTCAATAATTTTTCCAATAACCATCAAGAGGAAATGATACTTTAGATCAAATTTCTCCACATTAATTAATTGTCAAGCAGTCTATATAATCAGCACATCATAGTTTGGTATGTGTACCATGACCTTGGAGTCGTTTTCTTGAACTTGAGTAATTCGACGTGATCTGTAAATTTAACAATACCAAGTGCATTTAGCTGTGATTTTTTTCACTTTTAAACTACATCACTTGTAATTTCTTTAAACATTGGTTTTTGACAATGTAGGTTCTAAAAAGTGAGTAAATTTAAATAATTTACAATAGACTTGATTCATTCTGTTTTACGCTTTAGTTGCGTTTGGAATTAAGGTTCTTTTATGAAGAAGAATATTGGGTCATTATTGTTACTTGAAAGGATTTTACTGAGATTGTTTTACTTTATCAACTGTGTTCATCATAGAGTGGTTTCAGTTGGGTTAGAAGTGAATAGTAGGAAGCACTAAACAAATGTCTCGTCCTAGTATTGAATTTCTCATCAGCTACCTAACTAGTCATTTCAACTCGTCTTAAAGTTCTAATGAAAATTTATAGTTGGTGTTCAGATATATGGGGAATAAAACAGTTGTTACCCGTGGCACTAAATATTCATCGTGCTATATTTGGAATTGGTTTAAGTAGAAATTGTTCAGTTGGATGCTGACCCAGCTATTTTAATCGTTAAGCTTTTGCCGCGAGTACTGAAGATCCTGGATTTGGTTTTTAAATGGTTCATACTATTTTGGATTTCTATACCAGAACGCCCTTGTTACTTTGAGATAAGAATATTATTCACCAGTCGAAAAATGCCCATCCACCAAATCTATGTACATTCATATTCAGTTGTAACTGTCATCTCCCCCTTAAAATGGCAGTATTGACATCATATATTTGCGTTTTTAGGTTTCATATAATAATGTTCCTATAAAGCAATGAAACTATATTATATTCTGTTCATTTTATAATTTATTTGATCATTTAATTAATTATGTTACGAGTATTTATATCTCTGACTAGACAATCTCTCTGTATATATTGTCAATCAATAGCGCAAACTTCGATATTCTCAATTGTTCATTCATTTTATTATGTAATTAGACTGACAAAACTATTCTTGAATAATTAATTTTATGTATATATTCTCATGTGACCATGTAATAAACTTGTCCAATTGAGGTTGATCAATGGATTGATCTGTATGCATGACAAACACTTTATTAATACAATTTACAAGCTGAGATATAGGTTTTTGAAGAGGAATGAATACTATACACAAATGTGTCTGTCAAACAGTTTTACTTATAGGTTGATTAGATGGTAATTAATAGCAAATCTGACGTATAACCAATCAATAGTGATTAATCTGGTCAACTATTTATCATACTGTTTATTTTGATTATGATTTTGGATTATTCGTTATTAGCATAGTGTGTTTGTAGAGATGATGGAATTACGTAGTTTACATCATGAACTGACCTTAGTTAAACAGCCATTGAAAAGCAGGAAGTACTGGATAGCTGTTTCGTCGTAGTATGGAACTGCTCAACATTGTACGTCCTCAACCTTCACCAGGGATCGAACTCAGGACCTTCAGGTCTCATGGAGAGTGCTTTAAACAACGACATATAATGGTTTGCAGTCTTAACTTCAATCGATTCCCAATATTACGGAGTCATTTCCTAATGCTGTTAAACGGTAGTTGCCTCACATCTGGCATAGTCGATTTCTACTGGTTACGCCGTGTCACTAGGTCTCAGGGAATCTCATCTCTCAAAATCTAATCACTGTTGAACGTTCATGACTATTATTAGTATTGGAAGAGATTTGTATTCGTCAGTCATGAATGATATATCCCCATTTTGTAATGAAATTAATATTATTATCATATTTATTATTCTTAAAGTGAATTTACATTATTTTTATGTTTCTATTATGTCCATTGGACATTTTATGATTTTGTATCTCTGATATTCAATAAATACTTTATTTTCATGTCTAATGTATACTTTAGCTGTTTTTAAATGTATTCGACATTATATTGTGTTCATAAATGTCACATTGGATCACAGTAATCATGTGATAAATATTTATATTTGATTAACTAATTGATCAAGGACACATCATCATGTACTAGTTGTTGTCGTCGTCAGTGGTGTCAGTTAATATTCTTGTACACTTACACAATGTATTACAAATTTGATTACAAGTTTGATAATTCATATGCTACATTTATTTAATTTTCAGATTGTTTATTCATAAGCAGATAAATAAATAACTAAACAATATGTAAAACTTGCTAATCGATGTTCGGGGTGGTTGGAAGAAATTTAGGGGCGGCCAAACCAAAACGTGGCCATCAGTGCTTGAAGTTACTAATTTCTAGTCTGAGCCATGTTGGTAGATGCAGACTACTTGGTTGGGGTCCGCGTGACTATCGTAACCAATAGTTGGAGACTCTTGGTGACATGGCTCAGAATCAATCACAATGGCGTAGGTGTATACACTCTCTGTCTTCCCTTAAACTATGAGATTAAAATCGCTTCATATCTTTCTTTCTACGAACCAATTCTTTCTTCCTGTACTATATCCTTATATGCAGTCTTTCTTTTATATATTACCACCTCTGAATTAACTACTTTTATGAATCCGATGTCCATCTTGTTGTGTTAATGAGGTATGGCAACTTGGACCGATGCATATATGTGCCTAGTCCTACGTTGTAGCTGACTGACTGACTGATGTAAAACTAATTTTTTTACCAATTAATTCTTTTGTTCTTTTTTTCTCTTTCTGTGTATTTATTTTAATGAATACACACATGTACTCATAGAGTTTGTTTATTAATTAACTGATCTTTTGATCAATTAAATAAAAAGATCATTACACTTAGTTTACCCTCCTTCCCCCTAAAAAGTGAAAACAATTCACCTAAGAAATCCATTCGAAAGTCTATTGTGGTGATTATAAAATGTAAATAGGTAGTTAATTGGATTGTCTGCCGTAAATCGGCCATTTTGTTCAAATTTATGACAAAAGAAAATGTCTAACTATGAATAATGAAAGAATTCTAGTCGTAATTCATAGATAGGTAAGATGAGGGCGTGTTCATGTATGGTTGTTGAATGGAAGGAAGTATATTGCGGTACTATATACCACAAACCACAGAAAAAAGAAGTTGGATTCTGTATATTTCTTTTCGTTTATGTTTCGCACTGTAGACTAACCTCAGATAACCGGTGAAGATGAGGAAGTGTTAGAGACAATTGTTTCATCCTGGTATAAAATTTGTTAACAATGCTTATCCTTGACCTCAATGAGAATTGAAACCAAGACTTTCCTTATCTTATAAGAAGCATTTAACATTTAAATAATTGAGTTGGTATCCATTAGTCCGGCTTCACAATTGGAAATTTCTACACAAAGAATATACGTATATACTTGTGTATAATATCTTAATATATATTCTGAATACATCTTACCGTGGATTAGTAAAACCGTGTATATGTCACATGATTTTTTAATTGAGATCATGAACCGATTGATGTTAGACCACCGTTGAGAACCTGAAAGCATTGGACGGCCGTTTCGTCCTGGTGCGGGACTCCTCAGCAGGGCCTTTATTCTCGCGCGCGAACCCTTGACCTACTGGACCACTGAGCTGGCATCCAATGGTTTTAGTGTCTAACATCAACCAATCCACGAAATCGCGCGACCATCTCCCATTGTACTGAGATAGATACCTGTCTCTACCCGACACGGATTAGCTTCACTGATCACGGCTTCTCACTAGAACTCCGAGAATTCCCTCACGAAGCTGGTCACCAGTGAACATATATTAATTATCAGTATGGAGGTTACGGAGATTATTAGGTTTTTGTTTGAGATCATGAACCGATTGAGGAGTCCCACAATAGGACGAAACGGCCGTCCAGTGCTTCCAGGTTTCCAAAGGTGGTCATAACATTAATCGGTTCATGATCTCAATCAAAAACTTAATAATATCCACAACCCCTATACTGATAATTACATGATTTATTGTTTTTTTTATAGTCCCAGAAAAGAAGTTATTATCATACTGAAAATTCATTAAGTTTAGATTTTATTATTATTATTATTATTATTATTATTATTATTATTATTATTATTATTATTATTATTATTATTATTATTATTACATAAACACTTGTTCTATGTTTTATTTTCTTATCGCTTGTTAGTTATGAACTCATTACTTTGTTCTATTTGACTTATGTCCATATTATACTTCCTTATTTATGCTTATATGAGACCTGAAAATGAGCTCATCACACTAGTTTTAATTATGAACTGAACTGTACAACGCAATTTATTCGCTTGCTATGTTGGTATCCTTTTCTGACTATCGGGCAAGCGAGCATATGGGAACTGCATTTTACGTCAATAAGTATAGATCTCAGCTGTTACCTTTCTGTCTTTTGGTTGCTGATTAAAGAAAAGTCATTAGCCCTATACCGCCGGTGTAGGTGGATTAATTAATACTCGGACTAGAGATTCTACATTTCTTTTTTTGATCACACGAACTCCGAAATATAATACAGGAAATCTGTTCCTTTTATCGTTGGATCCAACGTAATATCGATATATTTGTTTGTTCTTTTTTTTTTTACCTGAAATTCCACCTTGTTAGATTACCAAAGAAAAATGTAACTGGCTGTCAAGCACGTCGGCCGAGCAGTTCTTTAACTGATCCGATATGGACATTAGCTGGTATACTGTCACATCGTTATAAATCAAATAAATGGATACAATTGAATTTATGTCTGTTAACAAATAATTCAAGATTAGTTGCTTATAAAACTGGTCACTCAATGACACCATCATTAGCTTTATTCTTATACGGTTCCACTGGTATTTATTCCGGTCGTGACAGTGGTATGGAACATGTGATTAAAATAGTACATTCTAGTCGTGAAATTATTGTCTTGGCTGCACCTACAGAAGAACAAGCATTGATTTGGGTTCGAGTAAGTTGAATTATTATGGAAATACACATAATCTATTGTTTTTTATAATTGAATAAATTGATTGTATGAAGGTTGTATTGTTCATCACAAATTGTCTTCATTTGGAATACTGTTGAAAACTAAAGAGTACTAAACAATTGTTTTGTCGTACTATTATGGAATTCATCAGCTTTGCTTACTTGCGATCCCATCAGTGATTATATTCAAGATTTTCAGTTTTAGCAGCGAATACCCTTAGAATAAATAAGTCAGCATCCAGCGGTACAATTTCAAAATGAATTAATTTTAGATATAGTGATATAATCATGTGATGTCATCGGTGTTATGCAAATTCGTGGTTGATGGAAGAGTGAAACAGTTGTAGTATTGTTATATGTATTTTGACGTATTATAGAATATACCGAGATTGGGAATATGCACTCACTAATGATTTTATCTATATACAGTAAATAAGTAACGATAATTGACTCAACTATTTAAGGGGTAAATATTTCCTAGTTCTGATAAGAAATAATTATCTCTTACCTAATTTGTTTCACATTTCATTCAATGATAAGTTGTTATAATGAAGAATACCTGTATACTAGGTATTTTGTTCAACACATCATTGAATTCATGTTACAGGGTACTATTTACAATTTTTTATACTGTATTTTCGTTAAGGGAAATAAAATATATCATAGAACTAAAAAAAGAAACATTATTATGTTAGTACATATTTATGATACGGTTACTGTTATAGTTTGAAAAATCCATGTGATGGCCAAATTTGTGTGGATCGGTTTAATTCAAATATAGTCTATTTTTTGTGGTGGACACTTATCTATAGGAGTTATTGAAAACTACATAACAGTTTGAAAAATACTTAGGAGTGCATTAAAACACACACATACACGACCGTACACCGCATGGAAATCATGAGATTCAGGTATAGTATTTACATGGATGATTCAGGTGTTTAGTATTCTCTGAATTTCTTTAGTGCTTCTCTATGATGTTTACCAGAGATGTGAAAAATATTTTCTCAAGTAAACCTCATAATACTTTATTTTCACTATTTTAAATAATGAACGGATCTTAAGCAATCATTGAAAACCAGGAAGCACTGGTAATGGGACTTCCCACCATTGCACACTCACTATCCTATCGGAGATCGATGGATACTTAACTTTTATACCTCTGAGTTGGTTTACATTCTTTAAACTCACGATATTGACCAACCTTAAGTGTCTCAGACCCGACTTGTTCGAACTTCACCGATTACATAGCTCATTAGAATTTTATTTGTGCTGACTACCATAACACTGATATGTTGACTTAAATATTGTTGTAATATCTTCTTTCTTAAAATTTAGCAAATCAACCAGTACTCTCAAGGTTCTATACCAACGGAAGTTTGCTCATTTCTACCACATTTGAATGTCCCAAATTCCGTCAATACTCAAACGTCTCCTACTACTTTTACTAATAATACTAACAAGAATACAACTGACCGAAACTTCACATCTCCACAGTTATCAAGTTGCAATAATCGTTCTTCTATGGATGTAACTGATTTACAGGTAAGGTGTGTGATATGTATTCTTTTGATATCACTTGATGGCCATTCATATGGTTTATTGTAAATTGAACGTCCTCATCATTGTGCTAATCGTTTGTGACATTTCATTTATTCACTTTGCCTACTTAATAATCATAAGTAGCATAATGTAAGTCTTTTATATTAATCAGTCTCAGAGTTGAAAGCGTTGTAGGTATTCTGTAAAAGATTTATTCACTATCTTTTTAAAATACAAATACTCAATCAGTCGTTTATGATTAGTGTAGGACCTAGGATGAAATATACAATGGCCTAGAAATTGTCATTATCAGTAAGACTGATGTGAGATTGATAAAACGAATTGTAGAGGGGTGAAAATAACACTGGTATCAGTGATCTTAAGAGAAATTAAACATAATCAATATGTTACATAAAGAAGATATATATTCACGGATTAGAAGATAGAAATGATAAATAATAATAATCATAAATCAAGAATTTATAACATAAACTAATATGATCGGTACCATATTTGTAGAACACCTTAATTTCTCTTTTGAATTTTTCCCTTTCCCTGGTTTCTCATCAGCTAGCTAGTTAAATATCTTACATTTTCATATCATATTCTGGAAGATAAAGTATTTCGTCATTTTTTTCTTTTTGATTTTTCAGGCTGACAGTGAATTTTTAACTTTAAACAAAACAATATGTATTGATTCAATTCCATCTGTAAATCCTACAAAAAGTCCATCATTTGATAACCGTAATGTTGGCCTTTTAATTAGTTCTTGTGAAATTAATTCTCAGCGTAATCGGAAAGCAGAAAAATCTATGACAAACCACAGAATAACAAATCCCATTGATGATGTTATCAATACTAATGACTCTTCCCTTAATGGTAGTGGTATGACAGATTCAATTCATCATTGTCTCTCTTCTAGTGTTGTAATACCATCTAGACCTTTATCATCGATGACGTTGTCGTCTGTATTCGATTCAAGTACGATAAGTATAAAACAGAATTCACGTCGTAGTAGTTTAATTTCATCAATGCGTCGTAAAGTAGAATCGTTTAGTTCTAAACGTCGTTTACGCAAATCTTTACCACAATCTTTACAACCATCAACTAATGGTTATTCGAACGTATCTCAAAATGAAATGGTGTTAACAGGACATAGACGAATGCTAAGTGATGGGCAGTGGAAAAATAATTTATCTAGCTCAAAATTTTCATCAGTTCAATGTCTTCAACAACAATCACAGCATATGATTTCATCACCACCGCTACCACCTCCTCCCGCTGCTTGTGTATGGGACTCATCTGGGAATTCTGGCAAAGGATTTGGTTGGTCCCATTTAGTATCAGCTGGTGTGAGATTTTTAAATCAACACACAACACCAACAGTTATCCCATCTTCCACAAATAATGGTCGACCTCGATCTGTGCGTTATGATTCTTCAGCGGCAACATCGGATCTTTTCTCTTCACAGATATGCTTGACATCAAATTATGGTCCATTATTGGATTTAAACACAATAAGGTCCCATTCTACTGCTCCATATACTATTGATGCATCCAATGATAATCACATAGTCATATCAGGTAAGCTCGTATTAACTAATGACTTTCCTTTATAATGAGATGAATTTAATGTTCTGTTTACTTTACTAACATATAAATTAGAAATCTTGGTTGTATTACAATTAAATATGGCAAGTATATGAGGGTGGCAAAATGTAGAATACTTCGCCATTTCGTAGGTATTTTTAACTTACCATTATTTTGTTTTACATAATCATCTATTTGACTAGATAGGAAGATAGAGGTAATTCATATATTAAGTACAGTTTCCGTGTACTTGGCTTTTAAATACACTTTATGTGTAAGGGTTAGTGATACAATCGGGCTACACAAACGGAGGTACTTGAGTCGGGACTCAGACGTTCGATCTAGTGGCTGAAAGGTGGATACCTTAAGTACTTTATTCTACTGCTACATGTCTATGTGATCAGATAGCTGAGTAAGTGGTATTTACTGGTTGTTTTTATTATATCGACAAGTCTTTTCTGTAATTCATTTAAAAATTCTCATCGTATGAATTTCGGTAGTTCCATTTTCTAATGAATCTGTTTCTGCAAACTATCTCTTCACGTAGGTCACTTATCCTACCACGTTTGCCAGTTTTTTTGATAGATGCTATCATATAGCATAGGCGATCTTGTACATTATTTTTAATTCAATTTAAATATGTGTTTGATATATGAGTTATAATTATCCATCGTATTACTAATTTCTTAATTTGTTAAAGAGAAAACTAGAAATGGAATGATTTATTTTTCACAGATCTACTCTTCTATAGAAAAATTAGCATCAGTGGGAGTTACTATTTTGTGTCCTTTTTAAAATTGGCATTCATTCATACATCGTTTCTACTCCACAATGATGATGTATTAGACTATAGTCAGTCCAATTAATTTTCGATATAGTGATCTTGTGGTTTTGATATTACTTCGGTAAAATTTTCTCTAAAACTGAAAAAACTTTTTTGACTCTGTTTAGTTTCACAACATTGTATATACTATTCATTGTAAGGATTGAAATTATCCTGTTGTTGATGTTCAGAACAGAGTTTTTTTTAACCAGTATCTGTTGATGTATGTGCATCCTATAGAAATTTCTTTGTTATAACCGTTTTATCACAATTTTTTTAGAATAATGGGATTATGACTCATAGAGTGAAATTCAGGATGCGTATTTATTCCTGTTTAGGACTTGTCAGTTGAATGTATCTAGATCTTGGTGACAAACACAAGCTAGTGGCTATCTGAACTCAATAGATCGACGGCTAATGCATTGAGTGGTTCAAGCGAATGATACTGGTCTTGAGTCTCAGTGTGAAAATTAACTTTGGAATACAAGTGTGCTTTAAGCTGACAGGTCTTAGTCAAGGCAAAATGCACGTTCTTGATTCTATTTTTAGACGCAGTGTATTATATAGCTAAAAGTATATTTTTTACTAACTTTTCGTTGACCTCATACTCTCTGTCCTTATTCTCAACACTCCATGTTTAACTTTTCCTACTTTTTTTCCCACCATCCACCTCTAGGTGATGCTTTTATTTCTATACCTGATCAAGTGCCTTGGACGATTAAATGGTGCTGTTTAAAATTGAATTGTCTTGAAATCTATCAAAATAGTAGAAAAGATTATTATAGTAAAATCAGTCAAAATTGTAATGAATATATCGATGAAAATTATAATTGGCCTATATTTTCGTTACCATTGAATAGTGATAAAGTTGAATTAGGTTTGGCTGGCAGTAGTGATAAACGACATTCATCGGCTATCCGTTTAGCTGTTCCAACCGAGTGTACAACACCATTATTGTTTGATGCTATTGATAAATCACAAATGGGTTCATGGATAAGAGGATTTATCCAAGCATTAGGGCTTGTTGGGCCAATAGATGTTGCACAACAGAAGAGTAAGTTTGGTCCTTTTATTACCTCGTAATAATTTTGTGTAATCATAGTTATGAATTACTGACTGATCACCAATGTAAACCCGGTAGTACTGGACGGCAATTTCGTTATAGTGTGAGACACCTCGGCAGTCTGCACCAACGTCCCAGTCACATGTGGTCGAATCTATGACCGTCGGTCTTGCATGCGAACTCCTAACTTTTCTACACCACTGACGGAGCATCTAATGGTGTACACAGCTAACTTCAATCGATTCACGATATTGCGCAAACCTCATCTATTCCTTGAGGTGAATACCTATCATATTCGAGATGGCTGGACTCCACCTATACTAATAATAATAGTAAACATGTGCCCCCTAGTGACTAGCTTCAAGATGTAATTTTTGGGATTCTAATGAGAAGGATTGACTATTAGGGTTCAATCATGTTGAGTGGCAGATAGCTATCCATCTCATGGAATGGATGAGGTTTGTGCAATATCGTGAATCGATTGAAGTAAGCTGTGTGCACCATTGGATGCTCGGTCAGTGGTGTAGAGATTAGGCGTTCGCGTGAAAGACCGATGGTCACTGATTCGACCACATGTGACTGGGATGTGGGTGCAGACTGCCGAGACGTCCCACACTAAAACGAAATGGCTGTCTAGTGCTTCCGGATTTTCAGTGGTGATCTGTCCCTGACCACTTCGTTGTCTAACCAATGGGAATTCGACATTGTGTATTTTTTCAGCAAAGTTGGACGATTTTATTTTTACTTCATTTATTATGCGACCAATGGATCATATTTAACGGCAATAGTGTACAGTCGGTAGTCGTCAACATAATATAACGCCTGGGATAAACATATCCATTAACCTCCCAAATCGCTCATACTAATTTAATACACATTCAGTTGGAATTAAACAGATAAATATCAAACTGGTCAAAATAATAGTAGTATCAATAACAATGAGGTCTTAACGGGCAAAAGGTAATGATGTTATTGTTTATCAGTTTGAATGAACGAGTTAGTCATTCATAAACAGGATATAACCTCATGGTGCATATACATGCACTAGTTCAAGTTGGCTTAAAAGTATATCAACACAACAAGATGAAATTTTCAAGTTAAATTCCACACTGGTAGAAGTATTAATAGCCATTCGTAGTAAAAAAGAATATTAGTCTATAGAGAATATGAATAAATTCACATAACAAAAAGCATATGATAATTTTATAACTTAATATCCGAGATGGAGGTGGGAGTGATGGTAAAGAGTGGATGCATCCATCCCATTTTGATCAATTCTGAATCATTTCACTCATCATCATCCCCCACTATTGATCATGATAATCACGTGGACCGCCAGTCAGATGATGGTCTTTCAAGATTGTTTCTTGATCGAGCAAAGAGAGAGATTGAGCCAAATGTCTTTCAACATTCACTTTTACTTAATGCAGAATTATTAAAGTTGAATAAACGTTTCTTTTACAAAACTCTAAAATGTTTTTCTAAGTTTTGGCTTCCTCTACTGTTGGTTTATAATACATAATTCCTTTTTAGAAGAAAAGAGTGATCATTTTCCTAACTTTTAACATTAACGGATTGTTATAACTTGTGGCCTGTTAATGTATAACGTAATGATACCTCCAATTAGAGAACAGTGAATTATCGATCGGACCAATGACGTATAAAACCCATGCGAGCAGTCTAGAGTACTTATCGGTCCCGCTTCCTGCCTAACCCAGCCAGTTAAGTCCAGAATACCAATCTCAGCCTCTGAGATAAGAATCATTTATTTCAAACATACTGGGTTTATATACCAACCAGACAGACCACATCGTACCATAAAGTAGGAAACAACATTTGTATAAGATTTGGCCAAATGTGGCTGTGAATATAGGAGGTAGTAATTAATGGACAGGGCATAATTCAAGAATGGTAAATCGTATAATAATAGTTCATAGGTTAAAATAGAGCTTATAATAAGAGGGAAATGAATATGAATAGTTTAGTTATTTAACAATTATACGGTAAAAATATACACATGGTATTGGTCCATAAATGGATTACAAAATTTACCATTTATTATTCTTATCAGGATATAACACGGATCCATAATCGATCTCTCATTCATCGATTTTTTTTGTTTTGTACATTCAGATTATTCTCTACATAGAATGTCTTCAATAGGACCTAAAAACACTGTTCCCCTTCATCCTCCTTGTGTTAGTGTACAAGAAAATCATATTCATTCTGTTCCATTAATAAAAAATCATACTGTTTTACCATTAACAACAACTATGAATCCATTAACATCAACATCACTGATTCATCGTATACCGAATTCAATTATGGAAACATCTCAAACATCAATGTATTATTCTGATATACATGACAATGATGTTGATGACGACGTTAATGATCTTGTTGATAATAGTAATAATAGTAATAATCCATTCTTTGTAAATGTTGAAAAACAAGAAACATCTTCATCAAATATGGTGATTTATGACGAAGTATGTCCTCCACAACCAAGTTTTGCAACGACGACGATCACTGCTAATACTCCTGTTACATCGTTGTTATCATCAACAGATACCACTAGAAATCCGCCTAGTTTATCTAAAAGACGTTGGAGTTCACCTTTGTTAATTGTTGATTCATGTACAAAATTCCCTGGATCATTTTATTTATCAAATATTGAATCAAATAATGCTTTATTAACTAACAATAACAGTAATAATAATAATAGTCATAATAAATCATCTAATTGGCATATTATACCACCACCAAGTAGAAGATTATTAGCTCAACCATTGCCTCCATTACCGTCAGTTGGACCAAGTACATGTGAATCAATGGCTGGTACAATTACAAGTGATGGTAGCTGTACTTCATCGAATATAACACCAGATGATTTCGTTGGTTGTGTTGATGATGTTAATGATGATAATAATGGTTATCAAGACGAAGATGAACGTGTAAAACTCATTAGATCCATTAATATGAATTTGGAAGTGAGTAATGTTTATTTAAGTAATTCATTGTATCAGTTTAAATAAAACTATTTGGCTCATTAGTTAAATAAAACAGGAAATGAATTCATCTTATTCATTCTATAACTTGATGTTAGAAATAAAAAAAAGTTTTAGGAGTAAGTATCGTTTGAAAGACTTAATCGTACGCGAAATTCGAGGACCAAACGATGAGATTCTTCTTGGGATTAAACTGCATATAGCCAACCAGCCAGTCAGTCGATCATTCTCAGCGTAGAATCTGGCACGTATATGCAGAGGCTCAAGTTGCCATACCCTATTAGCACAGAGTGATGAACTTGTCAAACCAAATCTCAAAATATTAGAGGTAGTATGAATGGTGATAGTACCGATTAGACATCGAAGACAAGATCCAAGGAAATATAAGTTGGTGATTTAAAAACAAAAAAATTATTGGGAATTCATGAACTTAGCACTTAGGGGAAGACAAAGAATAGATGCACCTGCGCCATTGTAAATGATTTTGAGTCATATCATTTAAAACCTATAATCATCGGCTACGAGAACCATATGGACTCCAAACAGGTAGTCTAAAGTCTATGACTTCATAAACTGGTACAATCTTTCAGTATGACTGCCACAAGCTTTCTTCCAGCTTATTGCATCAAATAACATCCCCGTCGAGGTTGGTGGTGGATGGGTATACATAACACATATTCCAACCCTCTCAATTGATGAAGATTTACTACTTCATCAATCGATTTGCTAAATTTACTTATAATCATATTCCTAACTTGAAGGCACTTACAACCAAATTAAAGTAACTCACGAATATCCTCTATTATTAATGGCCATTTTTCACACCTATAAGTTAGGACAAAGAGAACTGCTGGCCGGTAAACTCATCTTTTGTTTGGCATATATTGGACCAGTGGCTTAACGGAGAAAATATTTAACCTTTAGCCTTTGAGCTGTTGGTTCGATTTAGGCGGCTGGATGGTTTCACTGGCTTTCATACTTGGATTGTGGGTCAAAGTCAAGTACACGGATGTGCATCTGACAAATGAAGTGATATTAGTATTAATAAATAGGTATAAACAAAAGGATATTTATGAACCTCAGTTTTCATGTCGATTACATAGTCACAGAGTGAGTGTGTTTTATGGAGCAAAAGAGTAAGCATAATTTTACAACACTCATTATGAATCAGAATGTGGAGCACAGCTATATATCACCAGCAAAATAGGAGTAAGTGTTTATTTTTCGAAAATTGCCAGACTGTTAGAAACACCTACGTCTCAGTAAATAATGGCAAAGTATAAAAAAATCAAAGTTTCAGACTAATTCATCCACTAGTTATTTAGTAACAATCCACGCTTTAAGTGTGATGGTCGATGATATTACCCGGTTGCCGAAGCCGAAATGGGTCAGGGTGTGTTGTGGATGCAGAAGAATAGACCAATAATTATCATGTTAAGTCCAATGGTGTCCTTGGACTTTAAATGGACATTCCCTATTGGTCGATATATGTTCACTTGTTGAGTATTGTACAAAATGTTGTTTTCTATTTTTATGGTACGATGTGGTATGCTTGATTAGTATATAAACAAAGTATGTTTGAAATATAATGATTCATATCTCAGAGGCTGTGGCTTGTGTTCTGGACTCAACTGGCTGGGCTGGACTGGACAGGGAAGCAGGACCAATCAGAACTCTAGGCTGTTCGCTCGTGTTTACGTGTCACTGTCACTGTAGTCGATCGATAACACAGGGTAAAAATCGACCAGCAAACTTAAAACCATAACAGGATGCGATTTTGAAACTTAGCGACTGAAAGTCGAACGCCCTAATTACTAAGAGGAATGAAAATGCTTTCGAAAGTACCGACATTTAACAACAATAAATTCGAAATAGGTGTACGTAAATGCATTGAATTGGTGGTTTGTTATAACTTATTTTGCGTCATCATGAGCCAATGCATCCAAGTCATTAAAAATGATTGAATATAATATATTCTACTAAACAATTATTAGTAGCATAATTTGACATACTTCAAAAAAGTTGACAAGTGATCAATTAATTTTTTGTCCATCATTTTTGATAACGTTTTTCTAATTTTCACATGAAATCTCCTTTTAGAAAGTTTGATTAATTCACTGTTTCTGCTGTTACAGACTGATAACTATCCGTTGTATTGGTCGAAGAAAGACAAAACGTCAGACCGCTGTAATTTGCCATCATCCACACTGAATCGTCGATATGCCAGTATGAGTAGTTTAGAATATTCTGTACCATTCAACGAATCATCGACAAGTATGTATGACTACAACAACAATAATGATAGTAGTACTAATGACCAAAAGAAACCGAAGAGGAAGGACGGAAATAAGAGTATTTTAAAACAATTCCTTTCGCATAAACAATGTCATTCTTGGATCAATAATAATGAGAACAATAATGATAAAGCAGAAAATAATAACAATTCTACACTGAACATAATGAATAATAGTGGTAGTAATTCAGTGTGTACAGCACTTATGACAGATGGTATTTATTCATCACCCTTGTGCACAGCATTTACATTTATATCTGAGTCAGATAATTCAACTTTGCACAAAGCAGATTCGGATCTTGTTACTAGTGATACTACTAATACTACTTGTACGACCACTACCACTAGTACATGTACAAATGTTTTTAGTAATGATGGCGATAATGATAATATCAGTCGAAGAAATTCAGGTAATGATTTCATAGGTTTATTGGTAATGATTTTTGTATGATTCTTCCCTCTTTTATTAATTTTGCTTACTATCTTTAACCAATTACACTTTAATCACTTCAAAGTCGTTTATCTAATAATTAGGGAAGTTTATAGATACTCTTTTTTACTTATAAGCTGTTTGAAATATGTAATTTTACAATGAACCTCTGTAGGAAGTAATTATCTACAGATGGATTTCTTGAATAAGTTCGTATACTATCGCATACAGAGTCTTAGCACGACTGTAGCCAAAACAGGTAACTATATATATATATATATATATATATATATATATATATATATATATATATATATAGCCAATAATTATACTGTTTTTCTGAATTATAAATTAATACAGTTAATACAAAAACGCAAAATCGTAGTCAAATTACAAAGACGACAATAAACATATATATACCGGACAGTAGCATGGACACGACAAGTGTTATTCTTGCATATATAACTGGTGAAATTTAATGAATAATAGTTAGATAGAAAGACTTAGAATGAGAACTAATCTGGTATTAAATGAGTTTTAGATAGTGGGGATTTTATTCAGATATTGTCGAATGATTAACTCCTAATAATAGAGCTTAACGCCCTCCTCAAAGCGCTGATAAATTATAGTGATCTTAGATAATTGGATGTAGTTGAGAGAAAACCTTGGATTTAAGTTTTGCATTAGTTGACACTCTTCAGTGGGGAATACGTGTAGTATTCATGGGACAGATGCTCTCTATGGTACTGGAACGCTGCCATCGAGCTATTTAAACCATAATCAATCTGCTGTAGGATTCAGTAGTAATGTACCGTATTGTGAATATTGTTGTGTTTTTAGGGCCGGTTTAATATCACGTGATTTATTCGCCGATCGAAATACGACTTATTCAATCTTAGTGCTGTGCTAAACCAATGACGTTCAACCTATATGAGCAGCCTAGCGTCTTTGTTGGTCCTTTGTTCGCCTAGCCCGTTCACAACGTCAACAACAGCTTTCACTATGTGAATCATTTATTTCAAACATACTTGGTTTGTATACCAGCCAAACAGACCGCCTCATACCATAAAATAGGAAGTAACATTTACACAAGATCAAGCTAAAATGTAGCTGTGAACGTGGGAGACTGTAATCAATAAACTGTACATAACTTAAGAACAGTAAATCGTATAATAATAATCTGTAGGTCAAAATGAAGCTTATAATAAGAAGAATATAGATATTCATAATCTAGTTACTGAACAGTTATACAATAGGAATATATATGTAATATTGGTCCACTAATAGTTCTCAGAAGTTACCGTTAATTTAATTTTCACTAGCATATAACAAATATGTCTAACGTTTGTTCGAATTACATGGGATGCATCAATCCCCTGACGAATACAACTTCATCTTGCTGATGACTCTCCACTAGAAAGAAACCTAAATCTAAAGTTTTCTGCTGACGACCTCCAAACACCTAAAGCTTCAACAAAGTATATGTGATGTTCAGTCATTTATACTAGTGTCTATATTGCAACTGGATCGATAGAATTCATTCAATTTCAAAGAACTAGATAAACATAGAATCACCTGTCAATTAGTGATCAATCAATGTATCATATCATTTGAATCGTCTTTGACTATATAAGAGTGTTTATCTGTATCTGTTTATTGGACTCATTGAGAATATTAACTGAAATACTATTTGATTTTTATTAGCATTAGAAGTTTCCAGTTGACATTATTGACTTACTTTAGCTCGATAACCGTTGGATACCAGAAAGCAGTGGACAACTGTCTCGTCCCAGTGTGCTACTCTTGGTTAATGCCCGTTCGATTTTAACTGTTCTCTGTCTTTCAATGTTTCAATTTATAAATAACTAAGAAACTTTCTAATCATTATGAATAATGATGAAAAAATGTTGGAGATATGTTTCTCACGAAGCTGACTTATGTCATTGCCTAATTCGTTCGTGGATAGAAGTGAATTATTGGAAGGTGTTGACCGTTTCATGTATTTTGGATGCCTCATCAACTGTAGTTCTTTAACCAGCGGGTCATTTTATACACCAACTAAGCAATTAAGTTTACATGCATGTATAGAAAAGTTTTTATAGAGAACCAAGTTCTGATCTTAACCTTATTTTATCATTCTAAAAAGTAGAGGCTGGAGCATTTCAGACCTGGGGGCGTGACTGCAATGCCCGTGGGCCGGCTGAACACGTATTTTGTGAGTAATGTTAGACGAGTTAGCTTCATACTCTTAAGGCCTTGCAGACAGCAACGGAAATCCGTGAGATAATACAAGGTGTTCTGTTTTTATGTGTGGTATTTTCTAGCCCTTTCCATTGTGAGAAGGCGATATCGCTGCAAATGATGATTGCCTGAAAAAGAAACCCTACTGCTTCACATCTCAATACAGTCAGCATTACGAATTCTTCCTCAAACTACAAGTTTGTTGCTTCTAGTCTTACCTTACTCCAAACAACCTACTTGGTGTGGTAAGACCTGAAGGAATGGATGTTCCAGCCAATACAGTTCGTTTGTTTCATTACAATATGCAAGTCCGACTACCACACCACGATAGCAACTACGTTGATGATCTAACTGCTTATTGTAGTGTGATTGCTCATCAATATTTTGCACGACCAGATCGATCAGTTTCACGTTCTTAGTTTTTGTGAAATGAAAAAACTGTCATGTTAAGCAACAATTTCTGACAAGTAAAAAGAATTTTTTTTTCATATTTTAGGAGATGAAGTCAGTTTATGGAATGTGAAAGCTGAAAACTTTTTATGTTCCAGAGATCCAGCTCTTGTAGAGTATATGAAATCATCTAAATTAATTAGTGCTAGACGATGTGTTTCTTGTTTAACTGGTAATAAACCGACAGTCCTACAGAAAAATTCCAATATAGATGGAATTCCAATTTCTTCATCAACTCTTCCTGTTCGTTGTGGATCCGATGACACAGCAACAGCAATAATGAATACAGAAGCGATTACTAGTGATCCAGTTTTATGTCAAAAATTGAATAAACATTGGAATCGAAATTCATATTCATCGAATTCTTCTCGTACAGCCACTTCATCAGGTGTGGCTCTGACAGCTGAATTTTCATCACCAGGTTCTGGTGGAACTACTCGGCCTTCATCAGTGGCAATGCCTAACTATCATCCTCCTGTAACTCTCGTTGAAGAGGAACAAACTAACATTGAGGTAAGGTAGTCGTTTAAAATTGATGTTAATATAGTAATATATTTTGCTGATAGTACTTTTTGTTGGGTTAGTCAGAGTATTTTATTTAGACTTTATGATCCTAGCCTTTAAGTATTGTATAGTATGAAACTTGCCCATCAAAGTACCCCTTTCCTCTATGCAGAATGTTTACTGATATAGGATTAAGTTGGAAGAAAGCTAGGGGATGGCAAAATCAAGGTTTACCATCAGTTCGCGAAATCATTGATTGTTAAGCTGAGTCGTGTAGGTAGATGCAGCGTGATTAGGGTCCACATGATATTCACCTGCTTCCTTCTATTATCACTAATACTGATATTGTTACTATTTCTACTAACTTGGTATTTGTCTTGATAGTTTCACATCTCTGTGCTGACATGGTGCTACGGCTACTTGAACCGATCATGTACATGCGTGAAGTTCTACATTGCCTATGACTGATTGACGACGAACTTGTTCATTAAAATAGCAAATCACTCTCAGAATAGTTATTGTTGAGTTCGTCTGATATTTTGTAGACAAATTTCAAATGTTAGGTAAAGCTATTGTCTCCCTTAGTTTCATCTTAACTGTTTGAAATCCAATGATTTACTTCAGCTGTATCCTAGAGAAATATATAACGACGCAAATCTAAATGTCAGTTTTTCAGTGGGTGTAGGGTTAAGCATAGTCTAAACTAATTTGATTGTAAAAATGTCAACAGATCCGTTTCACATGTCACCAGTTGCTTACAATGATAAACAAAACTGATGACATTGTAGTGATTAACGAATTATCGTAAATGTAGACAGATTATTAATTAAGTTTCTAGAGATGAAAGAGATGGAAGTAGTAGGAGACAACATTGGGAAGTTCTGCTCATATTTCTTTACACTGCAATTATTGATGACCATTCACTTGAAATGTGATCTCTTCATATGGACACCTAGACTGTTGTATATGGTTTAGTTTAAAATAATTCAGTAGCTGTTATGTAGCCATCAGAAATATAAAAATGCCCAAGATCTCATATATAATCATATATAATTTAAGATTTGTCTCATTATCGTAAATTTCTGTTTTAATTACCAGAATGGTCCGATTCATGTCCACAACGATTGGTATGATCTTCCTCTGAATTTAGGACAGTTAAAAGATACTCGAAAGTATCAGTCATCCTCTGATTATGGATGTCAAGTGGAAATTCCTACTTCTAACCTTTCTATTCTAAACTGTCACCAATATCCTCATAATCTAGTGAATAGTATGAACGAAAACAACATCAAGGACTCAGTAACAGTGAAAGATTCCATCCCACATTCTACATCTTTGACTCTTATTACGTCACAGCTGGATGAGATTAAACAGGAAACAAATAGTCTACGATCAATAATGTAAGTTTAATGATTTGTATTACAAGTTATTTGTATCTGAGAAATTGTTTGGAACTATAAGTTCCTTAGTATTTACAGTCTTTTAAATTTTTCTATGAAAGTGAATTTTATTACTCTTTGATGATTATTTCATGTTTGAATCCGTTTATTATCTCAACTATTTTATTGTCCATGATATGTCTATGGTACTCCTCAGCAATGGGCGTCGGCGATCCTGTCACAAATTTGATGACGATGATAATTTATTGGAAATGTGACCATCTTTCAGCCACTAAGTGACAAGTTCAAAATCCACTTTACCTATGACATTTCAAGAAATGACGTGATATTGTGTTTTATGCTACTTATGTTGACAGATTTAAGTCATGTGTGAAACCGATCCGAAGTAGAATACCTACCAAAAGAAGGTTGAGAAGATTGAACTAAAAAAAACATAGGAAAACATAAAGCAATTAAGAATTAGAAGAATCATGAAGGATGTAAAGAACAATTGATGGAAGATTTGCTAATGAAGTATTTAATGCATAATTTTTATATTTTGCCAAAGTATTCTGTAATTTTGCGTTTAACACTAAATTTGTTTTCTCCACCAAGTCTGTCTTCACTACTTAGTATCAATAACCTATACACTTGGCGTTTGTTTGACTTGATGTCAAGTACACAAATCTTGTATATGGTAAAGAAGTTAATAATAAAGACTAGAACTGTCCATAATAGTCAGTTTTATTTGAATAAAAATTACACTTTAATTCATTTAGTTCAATATTCACATCATTAACAATAATTTCACTCAATTGAACTTTTTCAGGCGTATTAAAAACAATCAGATAGTAAGTTTTAATCTCTAATTATAGTTAGTAGTACAGAGTTATTTACAATTTTAATTCATTTCACAACATTGTTTATCTAAGATCTTATTAATGGATTTATATGACCATGTTCTTAACTAACATTGGTTCAATCATTCTTTCTCTTCAATAAAAATTAATATCAGAAGGGGTTTTTGTGGGATATTATAGTAATTTCAGTAGTTGAGATCATGAGTCAATTGAAGCTAGATCATCATGGAAAATTTGGTTTCAAAAGGTATATCCTGGAGTTCTAGTGAGAAGCAGTGGCCAGTGGAGTTCAACCGGGTCTTTTGTGAGATAGTAACTCACTGAAGACAATGGTGGATGTGTCGCTCGATTTCGTGGGTTAGTTGAAGTTAGACATTAGCACCGTTGGTTGCCGGCTCAGTGGTCTAGAGGTGAAGCGCTCGCACGCGAGACTGATAGATCCTGGGTTCGAATTCCGCGAGGTGGGATTGTGGATGCGCACTGCCGAAGAGTCTCACAATAGAATGAAACGGCCGTCCAGTGCTTCCAGGTTTTCCATGGTGGTCTAGCTTCAATTGACTCATGATCTCAACTATTGGAAAGTTAATTTGTTTAAAATATTAAATGGAACTTTGTTTTAAAACTTTTTTCTCTTGTTCTGTTCATATTAATTTTATGAATTTTTAGAAGAAATCTATCATTTCAACTGTCGGATCATCTCGCTCGTGATTGCTGTGATCAATGTGTAAAAAATGTTGAGAGCCTACCGAAATCCGATGTTGTTGACATTTGCACATCAAATAGTGAAATTCTTCTTGATAAAGGTAATACTCCAATTGATAAGAATCTTTCTAATAATAATAATATTGATAATAATAATAATATGCCCAATGGTTGTAACAGAAAGGCTGCAAGAATAGAAGACGAGGAGACAACAGCTAATTTTTATGCACGTTTAACTGCTGTAGAAATGTTGCTTAGAGATGCTGAATCTACTGAAGCTCGATTAGAAAAAGAATTTAGTCACTTAATAATCAATAATGAGAAACCATCATTGCCGCCACCACCACCACCACCATCGTCGTTGTCTACGGTCATTTTCATGGAAGATTTAAAACCAGAACAAGAGCAACAAATCTTGGATGAAAAATCTTTGATGAATGTAAGTTGTCATAGTTTTGATTATTAGTGTTTGTCTATTATATATTTAGTTATTTATTTTGTACATAATTCCTAATTGTTTGTCTGTGTATCTTTGTCTATCTGTTTATTTTGTATGAGCGTGTAACATTTTATTATTGTTAGTAAATAATGTATACCTGCTTCTGTTTGGGCATCCGGGCAGTATCACAGCCCTCACTCATATCGAATAAGATTTGTGTGGCGCATATGTAGTTGGTGCCTCCTTGTACCAATATCTATGTGTTAAAATAAATAAATAATGTATGAGATTGTTACTATCTGATGGTCTGATGGTGGTGACTGAACAATATGGATCTGAAGTTGATCATAATAACTCAGAAGATGTACTTACTCGTTATCTTTTTTCCTTTATCTTAAATATTCCAGTAGTAGTCCTTCATTGTTATTACTATTTCGTTCCTTTTTAAACAGTATTCTCCATGTTTATTACTTAATTTTTATGATTTCTACGGTATTTTGTTCGATTTCTTTCAATATTCCTCATATTAATTTGATCGGATTGTGTTAATGTTGTATGCCGATTCGATTTAACCCATATTTGTGCTCAGACTACTTGGATTATGTCAGATTCACCGTCTGGAAAGTTTCCACTAAACAACTTGATGGTTAATTAAATATTGGAAAACACACACATAATATTAAGATATGACATAAAGTAGTCTGTAACCGTTGAAATTATTATTTTCTGTAACCATACAGACTGATAAAGTTGTATAGTGTAATTAATGTTTTTTGTCTGTATAAAAGTGAACCCTTGTATGCTACTTGGACTTAATATTATGATAATTAGTTTGTCTAATGAATATCCTAACCATGACTGTAAAAGCTTTAAAGTATTTCTCCGTTATCCCCTTCAAAATACACTATATACTCTCGGAAAAATATGCTTATTTACATTTTTGTCTTCATCGTTCATGACGTCTCTGGAATAACTGAAAGGTGTTTAGGTTCTTCAACCGTGTACCGCGTCGTTGGAACATATTTCAACTCTACATCGCGTCCTAGTACTGTAATCTCATAACCATATTTTCATTTCTGGATCAAAACAAAATACAATGTGTATTTAATAGATAGTTTGGAGATCGAAATCCCTTAAGTTTTGTAACAAAGCATTTCTTAACTTTCGTTTACGTATGTATTGTACATAATAAAGTAATCAAAATATGCATTGTTTAGTGATTGTGTGTCACGAAGATCAAGCTGAGTTAATGCAATTGATTGTCTATCCGATTACGTCATAACTACTAGCAGTCCTAGAAGGTATCTCTACGTGTTTATTCGACAAAAACCATGTTTATCCAGCTCTAAATACTAACCAATGTTGTTTATATTGTTAAGCTGCTAAGAGAATAGTGTATTGTGATCACTTAATAATTAGTAGGTTACAGTTTGAGGTGATAACATCAAGGCTAGCATGAAGTTATTATTAGCTCATTCGTTTTTTGATAGATGTTTTTACCCAGTGGGTTTTATTTGACATATATTAAGTTCTGTACTTTTACTTAACAGGATTACTAATTTATTGAGTTCACCGATAATGAGTCCGGTTACTCTAATGTTACTAATAACATTCATTTTACCTGTTATGCCTACTACGTATGCTAACGCTAACTGGTATTCTGTCTACCTATAGCCTGATCAATCAGAACGCGAGAAAAACCAACAATCTCAATCAAAAACTAAATAATCTCCACAACCCCTATACTAGTAATCAACATGTGCTCACTAGTGACTAGCTTCGTGAAGGAATTCTCGGAGTTATAGTGAGAAGCCGTGACCAGTGGAGCTAATCCTTGTCGGGTAGAGACAGGTATCTACCTCAGTACGACGGAAGTTGGTCGCGCAATTTCGTGGATTGGTTGATGTTAGACACTATCACCGTTGGTTGCCGGCTCAGTGGTCCACTTGGTTAGGCGTTCGTGCGCGAGACCGAAGGCCCTGGGTTCTAATCCCGCGAGCGGGATCGTGGATGTGCACTGCTGAGGAGTCCCACAATAGGGCGAAACGGCCGTCCAGTGCTTCCAGGTTTCCAAAGGTGGTGGTCTAACATCAATCGGTTCATGATCTCAATGAAAAAAATTTAATATGTATTGTTTTCTGGCGTACATAATAATATGAATTAATTACAAGACCACAACGCATCATAAATAGGAAATCATAATTTGTTCATAAATTAGGTGGATTGATGATGCAGTAATGAGTAACAGGGGCACAAATAATTGACCGTTATGTGTGACCACTAAAAGATATGTCAGTAGAAGTATATTATGGGAACGAGTCAATCACGTTCAAAAACGCGGTTTTTCTTTACATATATAACGAACAACAGAAATATTATTGTATAGCGTTTAGCGTTTAAAACGATCGTGAGAAACTATTTATCATCGTAAAGTAGAAATGGTAATATCGAACATATGATATACCCGATTCTGTCTCAATACATTTTATATGACAGACAAATAGGCATTATCCCTAAATCTTAATCCTGAAACAAATCTTCAACTGGTGACGCTATATTTTATGGATGAATTAATCAGATAACGTGGAATTCGCTCATCTTTTTTTTGCATGATAGTTGATTCCTGCTTGTAATGAAAACCTTAACCCTAAACCCTTAATCCTTACCCTAAATACCTAATCCTTACTGGTTTCCTCAAGATGAGTTCGAGAAGTCTTCGTCCATTACAATGGTATTGTTTTCTTTTTCGTAAGCTATCCATTTATAAGATCTGTTTTTTTGAATAATTAAGAACTGATTGGAAATTTGTCGCACTTGTTTTAAGTTCGTCCTATTGTGGTGTGTGCTACTTATATTGACATAAATAGTATATGATGTTAGTCGTGAACATAAGGTCTGGCAGCAGAGAGACAAGAGGATCGAACAGTAAAGAATGGAAACACAATGCAATTTGTATGATAATGCAAGAACAATGAAGTCTGAATGATTTTGAGACAATTGGTGGAGATTTTTCAAATTAAGCATTTACTTAATGATTGTTAGATTTTATTAAGAAGTCCTGTAATTTTGTGTTAAATACATTCGATTGTCCCCACTCGTGTTCTGTTCACTACACTATTATACTGTACTCTTGTTTAATATATCAACAGTTCAACTTAAGGTTACAATTGGGGAAGTGCTAAAGTATTATAAATCAGTTATTCATCCCCATATCACATTACTGTTACGAATAACAAAAGGAAATTCAAATCATCCTGTATTATAAGCATGGTATCTTGGTGATATGTCAATTGTTTAACCAAATAAAATCCATTTATTTCATTATTCAATTTTACATTTCTCTCCTCCCCCCCTATCGATACACTGTATATAACACATACTGTCGAAAATGCCTCAATAAAATAATATTTGTTTACTGTTCCGTTTATTTTTCTTCCTAGAAATGTATTCAGGACAATGAATATGTTTGTTCTCGTTGTAAGAATAACAATACAATCAATAATATTTCACGTAATAAACATGGGAAAATTGAACATCAAGGCTGTAAATTAAACTCATCGTTTGAGCAAAAAGTCAATAATACTATTCCTTTGTCAAGTTACCGTGACCGAAGTCATAGTGGTCTTACAAGACGACGACAACGACAGAGACAACATCATCATCATTGTGTTGCTGTTGATAGTTCCAACTATTCAAAACCATCTAATTGTAATATAATTGAAACTCAAACTATCGAATGCTGTTCACAAGTTACTGTATCATCATCATTATCTTCCTAGGTTAATGTTGTTACACAATCATTTTCTCTTGTACATTCACATTCTAGTTCATCATTGATTTAAGTCTTCCTAATTTTATCCCCTTTTCCCTATTTCTCTGTATATTAATTGCCATCAAAATGGGAAGAGAGAGAGAGGGAGGGTAAAGAATAAAAATAGACACATTCACATTTCAAAGAGCATTTACTTCTATTCTGTTTCAATAAATTTTTCTTATTATTTCGTTTTTTAATAATCTTGATCTTAGAATTCTGTTTATCATTTGATCATTTCGGTATTTCCCCCCCCCACTTACATGTGTCATATTCGTTCCCAGTTGTCTCTCTTCAATTCTCCACTTTTCTTTTTAACCACTCCTAATTTTGTATTTATATGTATCTTTGGATAGAAATAAGTATTTGTCTTCCTGAATTAGCATTCGATTCCCTTTTGTCATTATTATTAATAATGCTGAATCATCCACTCCGGTTATACCTTCATTTTTAAAACAATGAATCTATGCATCATTTTATACATAGTTCTAAAACTATAATGAAAACATTCCTTTCTGTTTTAAAATGTCCTGTTTGTTTTTATTTTTCGCCTTTTTCTTATAGTAGCTATCAATTTGATGATATAAACGTGTATTTATGTAATTTTACTATTACTACTAGTTATTTATCGTTATGATCCATTTTATGAATTCTCCATCGGCTTTTGTCATTCACATCCGATAATATCCTTTGCTAGTTCATTGTTATATTAACCATTTCTCTGATATAGATATCAATCATGATTGAGAGAATCATGTTTTTCTATTATTATTTCTGATTGTTTTTACAGTTGATTTGATCACTGGGTGGGTACTGACCAACATCGTGTGTATCAGGTCGTTCTTAGTGCAGATCAAATTCTATCAACCTAGTGGCAATGTAGCCACTAGTTTAGGTGACTTGACATTGTATGTACCATGTTGAGATGAAGTGGTGGTTGGAGGTACTCGACAGGAAACTCTGAACTTAGGTTTCGTGCTATTCGACGCTTGTCAGAAAGGTGTACCTGTAATCCTGAGGGTACTGATACTCCCTGACGGATTCGATCACGTATCAACCAGCTTCATAGTCAGAGACATTGCAAATGAGTTATGTAGGCCGTTGTAGCGTTGACTACGCATCTGGGTGACTCGGGGTCGAATCCGTCAGAAGCATCAGTTCCTTCAAGTTTACAGATACACCTTCCTGATTTGCGTCAAATAACACGAAACCTAAGCCCAGAGTTTCCTGTTGATCATCACCAACTCATCTCAACATTGTGGTTGTTTTATTTAACATCTATTCAGTTTAACTAAGATATATAGTGCTTTTAAAAAGAGGAAAGTTCATTTATAATCGGAGTAAAGAAATATCGTACTAATACTTGTGTGCGTTGAATATTTCTTTGAAATAATAGAAACTACTAATCAAATAAAAGTAGTAAACATCTTAAATTAAATTTCTAAGCAAAGATGGATAGTGGCTAGCAGGGAATCCAGGATGTGCGTTCCGTTCTATTTGGGACTCGTCATCCGGATGTACCTGCATCCTAGAGTTGATGTTCAATCCGGAACTTGAACCTAGTACTGTTCGCTTCAAACGCCATCGCGTTATCCACTTAACTACTGAGTCCTGATAGCCACCTGCTTGTACAATGAGGTGAAGTTTAAATTCACTTGGTGTTGTTTTACTTGTATGTTCCCATTCTTATTTAGGACTGCAATTGGTCAGTCTCATATATGCATATGTGAATCATGTGCGGATCGTCTCGATATAGCCTTAAGTCATCTTTGCTTAAAAAGCTTGTGACTTAAGGCTATATCGAGGCAATCTGCACAGGATTCACATATGCCAACATGAGACCGATAAATTGCAGTCCTAAATAAGAATGAGAAGATACAAATAAAACAATACCAAGTGAATTTATCCTTAATGAAAGTTTTCCAGGTCGATCGCAGTTTACATTTGACCTTATTAGAGATATTACTTATGAATATTGGAAATGTTTTTGAATGTACTTTGTAATCTTGATGAAAATGCGTTCATTTCAAAACATAACAACTTGAATTGGCCAAAGATATCTTTCAATTCGTATATTTCCCATTATTTCTATAGGCATATTTTCCTTTATGTACAAAATATATGACTTACATTTGAGAGTTAGCGTTGTCAATGTAGATCACATTAGATCGTAATTGTGAGGAAATCATTTTGTTAGTTGACTGAATATAATTTTATCAACTACATATATTCATAGCACTCTTTGATGATCTGAATTTATTTAAAAATAAAAAGTAAATGGTAATTATGGAGCTTAAGGACGTACCACTCTAAATCTATCTCCTGAGCCATCTTTCCGAGAAATCTCAAGAACTTGAATTTCAAATAGTAGAAAAGAAGTGGGAAGTGTGGAAGTGAGCCGTTAATTTAAAAACAAAATACACGAGTATTTATATGTGACAATAACGTGCTAGGAACGTACGTAGATCTGCGAAAGTTAGTGACAAAGTCGGTAATCATCCATTCACGGTGACACATTGTCTATCGTTGCCGTAGAGATCTTTGGTAAGTTCGATTAAATAGTAATTAGATGAAATGCTTCCACCATTTTCCTAGCTTCGAGAAACTTTTTCAATAATTTTCGAGGACTGACAATAAATAATACGACATTGTATGTGTGGTTGAAAAAGGAATTCATCGTAGGGCGGAACATATATATATTTGCACACAGTTGGACATAGACTGTTATTAAATGAAAACGATAGTCTTTCATATATATATTTGAAATAAGTAAACATTGGCAAGCTGGAAAGTTATAGATTCATCTGATTACAAACAATAAGTAGTTGGGATTCTCTGACACATAATATCTCACACTTTAAGCTAATCTCTTGGATTTGATTTGTTGTATGTGTGTAATATTTGTCAGTTTATTCTGGTTACAATTACGATACCCTTATAATTGCAGCCATGTATTTGATATTATACAATTTTGTCATGATTTTATCTATAGTTACATGATTTACATGAAATTTGTTGTGAATGAATGCTAAGTGAGAGACTGTACATCATATGTTGCTTTTAAAAACTTGCTAAATGCAACATATTAGGGAAGTAATACAACTGTGTATTGGAAGTGACAGAAATTCAGTCCAGTGTGATTCCGATGGCTGCAAACACATTAGCAACCTACTTTTCAATGGTTTCAACCATATCGTCTAACTGTAAATCTGTGAGTTCCGTTAAAAACATGGATTAAACATGTTTTCGACTAGATACAGATTACTGATATCGGTAGCTAATAAAATATTCGAATGTTGTGTTTGTTTTTCTTATAGGATTGAAGTGAACTGACATGTTTAATTGTAGGAGAACTATAGACTTTCTAATTATGCAAATTTGACGAGAGAATTTGATTGCATTTTATACATGTGATAAATGACAATACAAATCGTAGTGATCACTACTGACATTCTCCCCACAGATCACATTGTATCACGTTAACGAGTTTCCTTAAATTTCAGGAATGCGAGCAGACAATATAATGGACATAATGGCAGTTGTTCTGGTTGTTAAATTGCTGCCAACTGAATCACGAGAGTAGCGAATATTTTTCTGACGGAACATCCAACAAGTTTGTTGGAAGTTCTGAAACAGGCGGGTTAACAGATATTTCTAAATTATCAAGACATTTTTCAATCGGTTTTTCATGTTTCATATCAAATGGTCCTCTGATTAGTGTTTTGACAGTCTTCCGAAACATTATCATCGAAGTGAACATTATTTTGTTATCAACGCATTCTCATGAAAATGCTTCACTGTGTTTAGCGTTATTGTTTCAGCTACCAAGTTTTCAGAAATGAAGGTGATGTTGACGTGGGATCCGATCTACGATGATTACACTTCAAATTCATACAAACAGATATCCACTGTTCTCTGTGACATGATATATGCACTTTCAATAGTTATCAGTTTCAGTTATTATTCATGTGTAGTATCAGTGTGGTGATTGGTAAGCGATTCATATTCCAGTCAACTTAGTACAGATGTACTGATGTAATACTCGTGAACTTGTTCAACTAAATAATATTAAGCAGTCAGTTTTTCATTTCTCAATCGACAGAATGACTAAATCAGTCATAGTGACAATATTGTTAAGATAGAGTAATGCAATAGATAGGTGGAATACAATTTAGTATTAAGTAAAGTTTTTCCTCAATGTTCACAATATTCATAAGGGTTTCAAATTATCATTGATATGATTGGTGACTACATCCAACATTCTCACCAATATTTATAATCTTTCACCATCTCTCTGTTTTCCTGTTCGGATCCTAAATGTTTCAAATGATGCGATTCGTATCTGCTCAGACAAAATAACATGTGGTGTAGTTTCATTATGACCAATCGGTATTTGAGATAAGGACAGTAGTGGGAATATTGGTGTTGAGTCGATGTTAATGTCAACATTTGTATATCCGAAAATAACCGATCGGTTTATAACGAGTTGTCAAACAATTCGCTTCGTAATAATTTCGATGTGCTAACAGTCTGTTGTCTGTGGGGACCTTCCACATGAACTTCGTCGGTGAGTTTCAATCGTTTGGTCTGAGCTGACTCACTAACTTGTTTCGTGACAAATGGTCATAGTTTCTTTTATCCATAATATTCAAAATTCAATTGTGTTAAAAGATTCACACATTGGATGGACAACAAATGCTTTAGATACATGATGTTTGGTACTGAAAGAACGGCTACTATAAACCTAACACGTACGGGAATTTTATGAGTAGTTTATATTTCATTGAAATCACTAAACAATTAAGTTCAGGCAGCCGTTAAAAACCTGGAAGTATTAAGACGAAACGTCGTCCAGTCCCAACATTTTCTTACCATTTCTTTCTGTTGTTTGAGGGCAGCGTCTCCAGCGTTGATTGCTATATGAACAAAATTTAATGCTGTCACCATACTCCTTATGTGGTGTGTACTACTGATGTCGACAGAAATCCGGGTCGAATAAATCCGTATCCGAAGTCTTTGTATTTTCACTTCGCATAGTGAGCATAGCAATGGTTCACGTGTTCAAGTATAAACAGTGGGACCGCGGATATTACAGACTAAACTTGATATTTTTCTACAGGTAATTTCTACTTTTATGGACCTAAATTTAGTCATATTCATTGAGAATTCGTGTAATACTGTACCTCCGTTGTTTATCCACAGTTTCTTACATTCCAAAACTCATGTAGATGAATTGATAACAATTCTTCTGATACTCATCTTCAGATTAGTTAGAACCAATATGGAATCATCTAGCATTTGAAGTATTCAATGAAATAAAGTGAATATGTGTGAATCATGTACTTTATTAAAAAATAAATTAAAGAATTCGCTTTTATAAAATTTTGGTAAATAGCAACTAAATCTTTGTAGTGACAACGTTTTAAGTAAAAATATTTGGCTACTGAATAATTTTTAAGTAGTTAAAATATCTTTCTGTATTTTTTTGTTAACTTTCATTTTGTTAATTGTACTGTGACCCAATATTTTGTATCATCACGCTTCAGTGGTTTATAGACTCTAAGAACTGTTGACCGTGATTAACTTTAATTATGTACCACATAAAAGGGGTATGCACGATTTGTTAATTCTTAACTATTATTATAATTATTATAGTAGATGTCCGGTTTTCTCCAATCTTACTATAAGATATATTAACTTTTAAAGTGATATATTTAATGACCCATAAAATATGAGTAGGTTTTTTTCAATTAGTTTTAACAATTGAAACA